TGTTCTGTTGTCCAAAATGTAGATTCTCAAAATCATTTCGGCTATGCCTCTGATATATATGATAGTGATTGTAGTCATTTTTTTTCTAAATCCAGGTGTTGCTGGTGTTATGTTTGCCATCACACATTTTGCTCAGTGTTGTAAGCAGTGAAGAATCTTTATACCATATATGTACTCCAGTGAATGTAATTGAATAATTAATACATTTACCTCAGAAAGTGTCTCACTTGCCTGTTACTACTATATCTCAACATTATCACTTTAAATAATGTCATTTAACAGCATTAAGCACTTGTAATAATGAAAAATGCCTGCATTTGCTACCAGAATATATAGAAGAGAGAAAACAAGAACTATTAAAAAATAAATAAAAATACAAGCTGTCTGCCTCTCATTTTCAACAATGCTTATATATATGAGCATTGTATATGCGTTACTGCATAATGTCTTTATATTTACATGATTTTCAATTCTCAATACTTTATTCAATCTTATAGTAATTTTTTTTAATAGTTAGTAAAATGATTCCGAAGAAACTTTAAAGCTAAGACTATTCATTATTTACCTACTGCTAAATTCATCTGCTAATGTTTTTTTTTTTTTTTATAGATGAAGTACAAATTTGTTCATATGGCTTTTGCAAAGGGTGCATAATCCAAAGAAATCTCTCCTCAAACCCATGGATAGCTGTGCCTTCCACCAAAGAACCAGAAGTTGAAATTATTGATATAACGGATAAAAAAAACGTCTGCAGACTTAATCCCAAGAAAAATGACGACACTAACAAATATGGCATGTGTATGGCAATCACAAGTATGAAAGGAAATGAAAATGAAATTCTCATAGGCTACGAAAATGGCACCATTGCATTATGGGACCTCAGGGAAAGGTGCCTAATCGACAGTATCATAATTTACAAGGAAATGTTGATGTGCTTATGTTGCAATAGTTCAGGACATGGATGGTCAGGTTCAGTTAGCAACCAACTAACACAATGGTCAGTTGCAAAAGAAACAGGTTTTGTACAACTTCCAGATATTTATTTAACAAATGCTGGAATTAATTCTTTAACCTTAAGGAGAGATGAAAAACTTCTAGTAACAGCTGGTTGGGATTCAAATATTAGAGTTTTTCTATCTAAAAATGGCAAGCCCCTTGCTGTGTTAACTCATCATAATAAAAGCATAAAAGATGTTGCATTTTCATTTGATAACTATCTTGCTGCTGCTTCTCAGGATGGTTCCATCAGTTTATGGGATATTTACAGATAATGAAAAATAACATAAAAATTGAATCGTTTACATAAAACAAATTTTAGCTCTCATATTATCTTTGTTATCTATTTCTTAATATTGTTAGTAATTTTTATACTGTATTAGTGACTTGACATAAGTGGTTCAGTACTAAATGTAATAAGAATAAGTTATGAAAGATGATATAGTGTATGATGATGTAGAGTGATTTACTATTAATTACAAAGGAAACTAAAAAAGCAGTTTGCTGGAGAGAAAATTAGGATAGTATAGGAACAACTGGTAAAAAGCTAAAGTTCTTGGTATTTAATACCATTGACAGGCTGAAATTTCTTGTTTTCAGATAGATATAATCTTAAAAGATTTTACTCAAAAGTATTCACTAGGGGTTGGTTGTAAGGTAAACTGAAATGTAATTGAAATGAAAATGAAACTATTTCAAATAATATGAATATTGTTGAAGTTGAACATTTAAGAAATTGGACATGTGGCCAATTCCAAATAGCACAAAAAATAGTCAACATGAAACAAATGCTTGTCTGGGTGACCTACAGTGTGCCAACTGACAAAATTAATTTATTTCAAACTATACAGAGATATCTTTGGAATATGCGAAGAAGATATAGAGGTACTTGCCAAAATACTCAGCAAACACCAAATCATCTGGCAGAGAATTTTGTGCAATCCAACAACTTGATAGTTGTACTGGGATGAGATAAGCTCCAGAGAATTACAATAAAATATCCTGAAATCTAATCTACAGTAAGATACACAAGATTAAAATATTGCATATTTGAAGAACATGGGATGTTGAGTAGCAGAAAATGTGACATTTTAAAACATTTCAGATAGGCTATTATTGTCTGTCATTTTGAAAAGATTCATTAACATAACATTATTTGGATACTTAAATGTGTTTTTGTTGTCATAACAATAGCAAAAATACAAAACTAATTGAGCATTTGAATAATTTTAGGTAGCCTGTCATTGACAATCAAACCAATATGGAAAACACTGGAGAACCTTTTCTTTCAGATATCTGGAAAAAGGGAGCAAGGTATCGTGAGGAACACAACATCATATTGCATCATCGAAAATATTTACCAATTGATCTTTAAATTTTTTTTTTTTTTTTAAAGTAGACAGCTGAATTACACCTAGTATACAATGATTTCAGATGAAGACAATAGCCGACCCAATTTCATGACTAGCTGTGTGATTTGCACCAAAGATTGGATGCCTTAGTATGAAGTAATAGTTAACAAACCAATTTGATTGACTATTACTACTGAGTTCTACTACTGAGTTTTCTTTCTCTTTCTTTTTTTAGTCTCAAGCAATGCCAGCTTGGGTAAAATAATATAAGATTTAATTACTTTAAACACACAAATGCATACACACACAACACATTTTTATCTGATGAAGATATATAGGCGAAATGCATTATTGGGTATTATTTTCGAAACATACTTTCATGAAAATTTTTCCAAATGTCAGTAACATATATATAACCAAATATGTTTATGATTTTCTTGGACCATAAAATCTAGGAATAAAAAATAAATTATAGATACATCACAAAAACATGAGACAAAAAAAAACAAATTCCACACATAAACATGTACATCCTATTCATATAAAATAAATGGCACATTACATGAAAAACATGTAACTATTTATAAAATATGACTATTAATTGTGAGGTATGAAGAGATATTAAAAAAAAGTTACCAAGTTATACAAATAAATAGGTATAAAAAAAACTGATCAAAGCTAATAAACATACATACAAAAAAAAAAAAATTATCAAGATCTACATACAAATAGGCATAAATTAACTAATCAGAGCTAATGAAAAGACTTTGATACAAAAAAAAATTATATTTACTCAACTGAAGATAAAAAAATAAAATTAAAAGAAAGTTATAATATATACAATTGAAATTAATTTGGATCAAGATCTTTCAACAGGTATTTATTTTGATGTCTAGATGTGACCATTAATTTCTTTTGTTTAATAAATTGGGGTTATCTAAATAGCTAATTTTTCTACATAGTATAAATTACATCTTTCACTTTTCCCATTGTAAGATTTTGGTTTTAGTTATATCCCATGTAATTATGGTTTATGGGTGTAATATCACCATTCTTTAATTGCCAAAAATACATTAATAGCACAGGTCTCTCCAAGTATTTCACATTATTTAAAGTTTTATGGTTATTGAATCAAAGTATAAAAGGAGTTTCAGTGGACCCAAAATAAAATCTAACATTGTTATCAGAATTTATGCTAGCTCAATATACAATATTTTCAGCCATACAGTGGCTGTTTATAGAACATTTGATTTTTTGTAATTTTATTATTGATATTTTTGTTGGCGATATAATTATTCAATATAAAATTGTTATGATGAGATATAGATTTCTAATACATAGCTGATCTTTTTGATTTTTGTTAGAAATCTTTAATATTGCAGAATTATTGAAGTGTTCACGTATTAAATTTAGGAAAATTCTATTATTTGTTTGAACATTACAGCTATAAAAGGGGTTAAACCATAACACATTATCCCTGTTTATTTACTTTGTTCTAAGGCTTTTATATATTTTAATTTTATTTTTATCCAATATTTCCTTACAGCTTAGTTAGATAATGTAAATTGCACAGATTTATGTAAATTATTTAATATTAATGGACAGTGATTGGATGCATTGTTGACGTATTTATGGTTATGTAAGCCTAACATAACATGGGTGGAGGTATGGTGGAGTAATGGATAGCAGCTTGGATTGAGGGATCTGAGAGCAGAGTTCAAATTCCAATTGAATCCATTACATTCATTTACATGCTAATACCCTTGGGAAAGGTATGGATAACCCCCCCCCACACACACACACACACAGGTAAATAGCAGGACAGACTGGGCTCTTTCGCTTTGTATGGCAACTGGTCTACTGCAGAAAGAAATGGCAACCTACTGCGGGAAAAATCTGCCTCGTCAGTTATGTATCAAAGATACATGATTGACTAAGCATGTATCACGCATGGCACATAACTGACTGAATTCTAACATAACTTTCATAATTTTCATGTAAATACTATATCAAACATACTGGTATAGAATGGGATAGTAAATTTTAGTATTTTATATAACTGTGGTTATAAATTAACATCTTACTGGTGTCCTTATTCATTTAGATCCATATTTAAGTATGTATATACATAATAATTTAAATGTAATATTTTTTAAGCACTTATTTATATTTAGATTATAATTCCACCCTTATATCTTGAAGTAAATAATTTGTGTGGATGTATGTTTATTTTTGTTTTTTTTTTTTTGTTTTTTTTTTTACATACAAATTTCATTTTCTTTTTTCACTTATATTGATAAGTATGATTATTTTAAATACAAAATTTAAAAAGACAATAATCCCCATATAAAATATAGACTGCTCCATCAGTGTGATAACCTGTAATAAGAATTTTACTGTAAATATTAACAACATGAACAGTTGTTAATGACATGTATAATTAATTGACAATCTAAACTGACAAAACTTTAAATGTTTATTCTATTTATAAAATACAAACTTCTATTAGTTTTTCAAAACCACCTAGTTTTGTTGTAAGATTTCTTTCAGTAGTTTTATTTATTCATAATACAAACTTTTACGAGGCTTTCTCACAATATGGTAGATGCAGGCTGCAGTTGTAAATAAGTAACTGGAGAGCAGAAGAAAGACTTATGAAACTTGAGCAGCGTTGAATCTTTCAGCAACATTTTTCCAGTTGGCAATATGGAAAATTGCTTTCACATAATCAGGCCGTACATTCTTGTATTGTAAATAGTAAGCATGTTCCCAGACATCTATACCAAACAAAGGGATGAGACCTGAAAGTAAATTTTTTTTAAAATTTCATTAACCCGCATAAACAAATATAAATTGTTTTCTTTTAGTTTTATGAGAAAATATTTTGGTGGTTTCACTCAAGCTATTAAGTGGAGATTTATTATATCTAAGATATGATAGAAATAGGTCACAGAAGAAAAGATTGCATTATACAAAATATACAGAAAAATAAATAAATGTGATAAAATATAGAAAAATCAAAAGTACTTCTGAACAAGTAATAATTAATCTTTACACATAGTGATTAAGAGCAAGTAACAAAGAAAAATTCTCTGGCAAAATTATTAGACAAAAGTAAATTAGACATTTCATTAAAATCCATAAACTAGTAACCCGTTTTCTTATACAGCCCTATCTTTGTATTTCCAGACACTTGCAAAATTTATCTGATTGACCAACTCATCAGTGACATAAGTCTCAGTAAACTTCAATTGTGTAAAATAATTTGTCATTTTTGTTGTATTGTTTGGTTCTTAGCAATTCAACTGAACTGTAAACATGATAAACAGACATCTAAACTTTGATGACAGAATTTCTAGTTAAGTTTCAAGAATTTGTAATAAGCTAAATATTCAGTATCAACACAAGTATTGTATGATGTATATGAAAACAAAAAAAAACTAAGAGAAGCAGTAAATACTGGCAGAATTCATATGGATAAATGCTAAAATTAAAAATGAAGGATATTTATTTAATTTTACTGTCAACAAAGTTGGTTACAGAAATTTAAGTAGCATTTTTCACTTTAATTTTTCTTTTGCTATATACATCCTGCAACTAACTCTTCAGGTTAGGTCGCACATTAATAAGTGAACAATGAGTAAACTAAACGACAAATAGCTTGAAATATGGTAATTACACATTTAAATGCATCTAGTTATATCTTGCTTTAAAACATTGAATAACATACACAAGAAAGTTATTTGTACTTAATGAAGAATGCCAATTAGAAACTAAAGAACTCAAGTTAGTCACAATTTATTTCAATCAATATTGCTTTTAAATAAAAGTCACAATGTTTATAACAAAAACTATGAAGATGATGAATGGTAGTTAATTAAGTATAATAAAAAAAGAAAATTACTTCATTTTAATATGATTAATCTAAATCAATGTTTACAAGTGATTCATTTGAAACAAAATGGTATCTGGAGCCAATGTAACAAAATGTCATGTGAAACACTCAGAACAAGAGAAAAAAATCAAATTATGATAAAACATACATACATTGCTTGAATCCCAAGATCTGGCTTACTGACTGAAAGTTGTCTACTCCTCTTGTAAAGAAGAATTACTAAGATCTTCATTTTCCTCGATATCATATATTGGAGACCTCTGGTATTCAATACACAGTAAAAACTATTGGAAGCACTTTCTTGCTCAACATTTTCCATGATGATTTTTTTAAATTGGGTAAAAATAATAAATAATAATAAAGTATTTTCTAAAGACATTGTTTATCCATAAATTTAGTCCTACTGGAAATCAGAATAAATAATCTTTACAGCAGTATAATTTGTTCTAAATTAGTTATGGGAGACCAGTTTTCTATAATTGTGGAATCACAAATCTAAAATGGAATTTGATTTTCCATGTAATTTTAAAGAATGAATCATTTGGTACTCTTTCAAAATACTTTTATTTATTCTTTCAAAGCTTAATGACTGTCTCTGGGTTTATTAAAAATTTAACATTCTTTAATAAATCAACATGCAAATTTAGTTATATATAAATTCTTAAAGATTTGTTTAACAAAAAATAAAAATCAGTTGTCAAATTTTCAAAGAAAGATTTTGATTGGCCCTATGCAAATTTATTATTAAATGTTTTTGTAATTTTCAAAGACACTGGTTAGTTTCATAGCAGCCAAACTGGAGCAAACATCCATAGTTTATTGCTAAAATGGACACAGGAAAGTAGATAGATAATGTAGTAGGTGTTGATGTAGAAATTGAAAAGGTAGACATTTTTCACATATCATTCAAGAACTCTAAACTTTTTCTTTCATCAAAACACTTCACAAAAGTTATTCACAATAACTTTCATTAGGTCACAATCATTTCCATTCATACTTTCAGAATATTCTGAATACTTTGTAATCTTTGTTTTCATTTTTTGTATACTTTTTCCAATTTCTACACCAAAACCTATTACTTTATTTGTTTATCCTCCTGTGTCCACTTTAACAATAAACTAGTCCTTGACTGACTCATATTCTACAAATTTACCTAATATCTATCAGATTTATAATTTCATCACTGTAAAATTTCTCAAATTAAAAAAAAAAAATCAATCCTTTAATAACATTATTATTTTCCAAAATGTTCTTTTTTTATATTTTTTGAAGATTTTTTTTCGGGGGAGCAACATCTAAATCATGTGTTCATACAACAGTGGGACCTGCTCCTCTAAAGATGAATGACCGTAGTATCTAAAATTTATGCTAAATTTCCTGATGATTTTTATGCAGAAGATTGTATGTTTTCTAAATTCTGTCTCCTTAGGGTTGACACAATCAAAGATCACCTAAAATCAAGAATCTATTTGGTAAAATGGTCTCCCAAAAAATATCTACATTAAAACAGAAGACAATTACAATTTTGGCAAGGTCTAAAAATACATGGGATGATTACAGGATTTTAAAAAAATAAAAAAAAACATGATTTTTTTTGAAAATGTGCAATTTGACTGACATCCTCATGACAAAATTTATATTAAAGCATTGCAAGGAAGGTGATTTTCTCCCAAAGCGTTAAGTGTGTTAGGCAACTTCATCTGCCCAAATTGTTTGCCTGTCAGTTTGCTGCCCTGAATGTCAAATTTACCAATGAACCTGTCAGTATCATAGAAGACAACTGATTGCCATGAGCATAACATTTTGAATGAGATTGCAAATGGGAAGTCATTTCTCTATAATGTTGTGACCATGACAAAATGCAACTCTCAAATTGTAAGTCAAGAATGCATATGGGCTATAACTCCAATTGATATTGTATTTGAGAATATTGTATCAAATTCAGCAGTCTAATAGGGAAGTATTATCAAATGTGTTTACTAACAATTATCATTGTATTCTCATATTGACCAGCATTTGATAGTGTTGCCAGTCAAAAACAGTGATACCAGAAATGGCTTGAAGCCATTTGTAATTGACTTGTAGAGCTGTCCCACTGTGACAACTAGATGGAATTCATGGTTTGATACAGCCAATCATAAGTGCAATTTTATGAGGGATTCTTTAAGAAAGAAAGAGTCATAGCCCAGCAAGTAAATAGGATTTTGGAGTTAGATGATAGTTGATTATACCACACATCCTACCATAGTTTGCACCTCAATCTGTGTTTCATTAATGAGAACTGCAACCATTTAATGACAGCTTAGATAAGACTAAGTCACCACTTGCATGTACTGTATATAACATGATGGAAGATGTAAAAGATACTGGTATGTCAGAAACAACATTTGGCTGTCTTCTATCTGAACTAGAAAATGTAGAGATAGGGTCATCTCATATTTTCAAAATTTTTTCATGATATCAGTTTCAAAATTGAATAAACATCTGAATGCACACCATGTGCATGATGGTCACAAGGCAACTTGTTTGTTTGATCCGAGACAGTTACCCTGTATAAGCTATTGACAGTTTTATAACTCTTAAGTATTTGCAAGATACTTCTGTTGATCTTGAAATGTTCCAAATTTAGGTGAATTACCAAGATGATTCAGCAAATTCTTTTAACATTCTGGCATTTTGGAATGCAAATTTAGAGCAGTTTTCCTCTTCTGGATTGGATTGCTAACTGTAGTGACATAGGTAAAATGCACTTGCCCTATTTTGTATAGAATCAAGCAACTGCCATTAAGTCAGTCATCACTTGGCACAGACATCACAATATGGTGTCACTGATAGGATCTTTAACACCATTGGAGGAGCCGGGCTTTATGGAAACATGGATTTGTTGTTTTACTGCCCAGGCGCAAACCAAGAATTTCAAAGACCATAAAGTTGCAAGAGGGGAGAACAAGAATACAGATCTCTTTCTGGCTTTGGCAGGGTGTGAGGCCCATCAGAAAGATCTCTGTCATAGCATCACAGAGAATTGGAGGATTTGACTGTTTAACAAATTTTGGATATTATAAAGAGAAATTTTAATCCAAAAAAGAAATTGGTTATTACTGAGAGGACAACAAATTTTTTTGTGAACAAACAGGAGCCAAATGAGTCAATAATACAGTATATACACAAGCTACAAGAGACTTCCATATTTTATGTGTTTGAGAAACTTGGCACTGGAGAAATGATCAAGAAGATACATGTATAAACAAAATTTTAGAATAGTTACAACTGACTAAAATGTCCTTGGATGCATTTATAGAGTTTCTACAACAATTAGAATTAATTGAAAAATTCAATACATCCAAGAGTAAAGCTGAAACATACAGCATATCGAATTACCTTGTATGGTGCAAATACTATGATAAAAATATGTTTGAATTGTGAAAAGAAAAATCATTTTCCAGTCTGTGTGCAAATATAAAAGGAAAATAGAAAGGTTAGAAAATTTAAACTCCCTTCAGGAAAATATAGCTGTAGTTGCAATATAAAGACAAAGAGAAAAAAGTGCCAGAGAAAAAATTAAATTGAATAGGATAATCTTTCCTGTATAAGTAAATACTGGGAGTGATGTCACCCTAATCCCCATAAATTTCTGGGAACAAATGGGTAAACCCAAATGAAAGAAAAGTTGGCTTAAATTAAGGCAGTTCAATGACTCTTTCATCAAAACATTAGGTTGTTTTGAAGGAACCATAGAGACTATCACATGTTTCAAAATTAATCACATCTTGGTAGTGAAATGTGAAAAAAAGTCATGGGCTCATGGAAATAGATGTTTTGAAATTGGATGCCTCCCTTATAAAACACTGCCATACCACCTGTTATCAAATGGAGTAGCAGAAAGAATGGTGCAGACAATGAAAA